ACAGGGATTATTTGGTGTAGAAACTAGTATATTTTCAGGTTCCAGGCCTACTCAACTTAACTAATGAAGTAGAAATGATATCTATGTTCCCAAAAGGTAGAGAAGTAAAGTAGGGAAGCAATAAGATGAGTGTATGAAATTATTTCTACCCTAATGCCAAAATCTATGTTGATATTGATGTGCGAAAATTCAGTATTTGGGTGCAAAACATGTGTTGTCCCACAATTTTCTTCACGCGACTGCCATGCCGGTACCGGAACTCAAAATCCTAGCCATATACTGTAATCCCTTCCCCCATCGCCGTGACCAACATATCCACATACCAGCATCAATCCGGGGCCACGGGTATGCACAGGGAGAAGGAAAGATGCAAAGATGGCCCAATGAGAGATAGCAAATGGGTTACAGGGGAGAGGAATAGCCACCGCCCTCTTTCACCGTCTCCAAAACATTGCTCACGCTGCCCCCCCCCTTGTGGCATGCCACCGTCAACCGGTACCGGTAGTCTACCGCCTGCCATTACTGCAATACAAATGGCCAATCATTGGCAGTCATTTCCTATTTCTCTCAGTCTCACGGTGTTTGCCACAAAGTTGCCTCCATATCGTCTGTGCGTGCACTCGCGAGACCCTGGTCGATGGCATCGATTGTGTCGGGTGCCAGCCAACAATTCACCATGCGCGCATCGTCATATACCCAGACAGACTCCCGGTCTCGGCCAAGGGCCAGATTGCGCGCCTCGCTATTCCTTCCATCGTGCCCAATGCCGTGGAGTACGCTAACGGGTCCGTATGTTCCTCACGATTGGAGGTGTTTACGAGTAGCATCGAGTGGGGTTGTGGGGGGCAGTATGATATGATGTGATAAGGCAGGATCTCGTGAAATCCACTTATCAGATTATCAGCGGATCAGATTTACCGTATCACAGTTCGACAAGTTAACCGAAGGATGAATACCGGTTAATGAGTTTCAACGCCTTTCTGTTTTGTCTCTGGATCCGGGGGTTAGACTTGACTTGCCGTACAGGTCTGGCGGAGATATGATTGTGGATTTCACGAGCAACGTCAAAACAAAACCCCACCACCATCACCGCCTCCTAAGCACAGCACACCGTTATGATATCAGTAACTTATCGCTAAACTCATAAATAATCCGTCTTATTAATTCCCGAGCACCACAGTTCCCATTTCGGTATGTGACGCGGAATAGCTCACGCCAGCTGCTTCAACTCACCCATTCTCCCCGAATCATCTTGACCTTTCGAGCGTGTGAGTCTCTCTCTCCCTTCCTTCCTTCCTTCCTTCCTTCCTTCCTTCCTTCCTTCCTTCCTTCCTTCCTTCCTTCCACCCTCGCTACACCCTCTGTATGCAGCCGTCTTGACACAATCGCCCCACAAATACCTCAATCGTAATTTATTTCCCCCGTCTCCACTGCCTCCTCCCCCTCCCCCTCCTCCTCCTCCTCCCTTTCTACTCCCTCTCATCATCTATTTGTTTCTTCCTCTTTGCCTTTCCGTTTTCCACCCCTTTGGTTAGAAGACTAAGAGTTTTAGCCATGAGATTCGTTTCTCGAACCACAAGGATACACTCGTTGCTGCTACCCGGAAACTCTGCCGTGAGTCACTCGAGATGCCCTTCCCGACCTGCAACTAATGGGCATGTGACAGTCCGCATCACTCAATTCCTCCGCACGGGCAAGATTTTTCGCTACAGGTTTTCACTTATGTCAAAGTCCGGAGAGGCCGGCGGGGGCAGGAATTGCGGGGGAGACTGCCACCGCTCTACAGCCCGGCGTTGGGAGTTCGGGGAGTCAGACTGCGGAGGAAAATAGGGTTAGCCTTCTTCGAAGCCCCTCCTTGGGAATCATTGGGTTCTTTTCTCTCTTCTTTCGGCTCCCCCAGTTCCTGACAAGGGTGACTATGACAGGACTTGTACCTATCCGTGCTATCGTCCACCTCTACAAAGCGGGAAGCAAGGGCATACTTGCAGCGCTTTACGCCCTCGCTCGCTGCGCCGCCAACACAACCCGGCGTCCCCCCACCTGCGCCTCTCCCGAAGTTTGAGAAACAGTCCCCATTGACCGGCTCGGATGCAGAGGTCCTGAATCAGACATACATGCAAGGACCTCTAGAGAGCAATCCAACGGTGGCACCAGGCATTGCACCGGCTCCATTTGCACCTGAGATGGCCCAGGAGGATATTCATGTTGGATTGGTCAAGATCCGGGACGCGAGCCGTACGGACGACGCTACGCTGAAGGGGGTGGGAAGGACGATATGTCAATTGCAGAGACTGGGGCTGTTCACCATTGTGGTGGTGGACGAGGCACTTCCTTCGACAGGCAGCCACGAAGCGATTGCGAAATGGCGGGTCGATGCCGAAAAGCAGGTGGATAGGGTCGTATCGGCCATTGAACTGGAGAGGGGGCAGGCCAGAAGAGTAGACGGCGCTCTATCGGTTGATTCGGAAGGATCTCCGTTGAGGGTCGCGCCAAACCACCTCATCATTCCGCTTTCCCGTGGCGTGATACCAGTACTATACCCGATGGCATACAACTCGAATCAGCGGTTGGTCCCCGCCACGGCAAACGAGGTGGTATTAAAATTGACGAAACTGCTCTCAACCCACTGCCCACAAAGTTCCCCGGTAGACCAACCCATATCCCTTGACCGAATAATCTTTCTCGACCCTCTCGGCGGAATCCCCTCTGTCGATCGCCCTTCCGGAGCACACGTATTCATAAACCTCCAGCAAGAGTACAACGATCTCAAAAGCCAATTGAACGACCACCACCTCTCCAACCTCTCCACCCTGCACGAAACCCTCTCCCTCCTTCCCCAAACCTCTTCCGGTGTAATAACCACTTCAGCCCTGGCAGCAGCCCACAACTCGAACTCCGCCTCCAAACGCTCCAAAAACCCACTAATTCACAACCTCCTCACCGACAAACCCCTAATTTCCTCCTCTCTCCCCGTCCAATTGTCCAGCCCCGCAACACTAACCACTCTCCTGAAGCACGGAATCCCAATCACCATCCACCCGTCGCACACAAAGCTCACCGATGCCTCGAAAATAGACCTTGCGAAGCTAAAACTGCTAATCGAAGACTCCTTCGGGAAGAGATTGGATCTGGAGCATTACCTTTCCCGCATCAACGATAGCATTGCTGCCGTCATAGTAGCAGGGGATTATGAGGGGGCCGCTATAGTCACCTGGGAGTATCCGAGCCAAGACAGAACAAAGCAGCGAGTGTGCTACTTGGATAAGTTTGCTGTGCTAAAGAAGAGTCAGGGAACGGGTGGTGTTGCAGATGTGGTGTTTAAGGCGATGGTGGAGGGTGTTAGGAATGGAGTATTTGAGGGTGCGGAGGGGGTGGTTTGGAGGAGTAGGAGGTGGAATCCCGTTAACAAATGGGTATTCGCCCTCCCTACCCAATCCCAGTGTATGGGAGATGGCTAATAGGAGATAGTACTTTGAGCGAGCGAAAGGGACCTACAAAATCCCAAACTCGGGGTGGACCATGTTCTGGACCACACAGGATGCGGAGGTGAGCAAAAGGAGATTTGAAGAGTATGCGGAAATTTGTGCAAGGATTGAACCGAGCCTTGTTGACGAGTGATGGAGTTTTTTTGTTTTGTTTTGTTCCCTCATGTTATATATCCATTCGAAAATTCTTGCTTTTCCTACCCTATTCCGGGTTGGAGGTTTTTCTGTGGGGGGGGGGGTACGGATGGATTGCTCTATGGCGATACGGGGTTAGGTGTGTTTAGTTTAGTCTAGAATGAAGAGCGACTTGTGTGTACCGATATCTCTTTACTTTCAATTACGAGAAGCCCACTTGCCTGCGCAATGATGGAGGTGTGGCTTTTCAGGCGAGTGAATTAAGAGCCGATTCATTTTCAGGCTTGAGCAATTTCTAAGGATTTCATAGGACGAGTGATTTCGTATGAACATGACCTCTCGAGCACAATAACCAGCTAACTGTATGCACTCCGTTCCAACGCACAAACGACTCGTCTTTCTAAGGGGATATCCAGTCGTCGGATAGGCCACTTTGCGACTGGGATGTCCCACCGAGCGGACCAGGACCCATCCCCATACCATAGCAGCTCCCAAGTGAACGGCAGTCACATAAACTTGCTCCCCATGCTCCACAGAGCGAGCATGCTACTCGACGAAGGAGGAGCCAAGATACACAACTGTGTACGCCTACGCACTAGAGGCCCCCGCGTGCCGCGAAATCATTCCTACAATCCCTTCGCCCGGTTAACGAGAGTATGATAGGTAATAGATTTTACCCGGCAGCAGGTGAACAATCCCACTCCGGCAAAGATGCTGGAGACAAACTGGTACGGAACGGTAGCACCTCTTTTCTCCTTTTCCTACTGTGGCTGGGGAGGGACAATAGAATGGTACCGTGAAGGCGGATCCAAGTTAATACCCAGTATCATACCGGTATGATATACTGCCATTCCAGAGTTGGGTTATACTAGAGGTGCAAGTGAATTTTCATTTGCATGATATTAAGATAATATGTGAAACCTCAATTGAATCCACCACACCCCACTGCACTGGGGGGTCTTTTGGTATAATAGCAGGAATCTGGAAGGACTTGGGAGAGTAGTCTTTGGCATATTTTCTCGCTATAATAATAATAATATTATAGGAAGCTACTATATTATATAAAAAAATCAACCCGTGGATTCTAAAATTCCTAGAGAATGGGCCCGCCTCCTTCGCTTGGAAGTCTGGAGATTTGGGTGCGACTGGTCATTCAACTCCCGGTTGGGGTTCTGCGCACTATCACACTTTTTATTTTTTTTTATTTTTAAATGCTAGAAGATAAGTTAGAGGACAGGGGAGTCCAGTCAACCATACAACTGCCAAAAAATAGTACCAAAGCATTATTATATATGTTAGAAGCCATGATCACGGAAACGCCCTACAATTTGCTAGAAAGCGAAAGAAAGAAAGAAACACCCAAATCTCAGAGCTATACCACGTAAATTCGGTATCCCAAAAGCTACCGTATACACTCGATGCGCTATGGGAATGGCAAGTGACACTTCAACCCTACTAAGAATCTATCTTTAGACAAATCATACAAGAGGTCCAATATAACCGATCGGTACGTGATTCGACCATCCAGCCATCTATGCTGTATCGAGGCCGCACACACAGCACTGAGCAATCCAACTCACTATCGTAAATTAGCATAATCCATTCGCCCCGTTCTACGGCGTATCCGACAATTCACCCCTTTAATGTGCCGCCCGCATTCACTCTGACTATCATACTGATGGCAGCGATGTGGATAGGCTACCGGCATGTTTATATCGGACGGTATTATCATACAAAAAAATACTCCCAACACACACACACACACACACCAGGACGAGAAAAAAAGAGAAAATACGGTATATCGAAGTGGGAATTACGCTCCCACACCTGATTTACTGCCAAGCACCTGCCACCTCACTTTTTCCCCCGGTACAACCAGGTTTTTCCCAACTTTACCTACTCCACCCCTGCTTTCTAGATACTCCTCCCTTAGGTGGGCCAGCCAATCAAAGGCTCCCTGCTTGAGGCTTCCAAACACCCGGGAAACAAGGCGCCGGCCAGAAGACCACCTTGTAACCCATCATGTCCCACTCTCCCACCAAGCCATCCCCCCTAGGAGGGCCCAGGAACTCCCCCCGGGGCTCCCCTGGCCTCTTGCCGCCCGGATCCCCTATTGGGGTCACCCTCGACTCGGTGATCCCCACCTTCTCCCGGATCATCCACCCCCCGAACTGCCCCAATGCCCTGATCAACGTGGGTGCCAGAATTGTCGCCCCCGGAAGCACCTTCCCCGGCGTACGCAAAGATCTTGGGTACCTCGACACCTGCTATGTGAACATAGCCAACCCCCCCACCAGACCTGCAGTCCTCAACGCCCCGTCCCCACACCCCGGATTCAGAACCACCCTGGCCAAGGTCTTCAGAAACGAGGCCGTGGACGAAATTGACGTGGAAGCCCTTGCCCACCTGGCCGCGGCAGCCTCCTCCTACCAACCCTCCAATGACAGCCCTGGCCCGTCCTCCCAGGTGCTCCCAGCATCTTCCCCCCCTATCCTCGAAGATTTCGAGATGACCCAGGCACCGTCCCAGGAACCCCGATCAATGAGCACCCCCGATACCTCCATGGGATTGGGAGGAGGAAGAAACTCGGATGGCACTGGGCTGGGAGACAGCCAACACGCCACCACCCCCCCCACGGCCTCGATAGGGCCCCTGCAATTCACCCCCACCATCCCCCCCCCACAACCCAAATCGGTGAGGTTTTCCTCTCAGAACGAGGTCTTTGAGATCCCCGGCACGCTATCGGGTAACCGCACAGCCTCCTCAGGACCACTACCGCCACCATTTCCATTCCCCCCCCCACACCTCCGATAGCCGAAGGGGAAGGAACCAGCCCATCAGAACAAACCCCCAAGCCCATCAGAACGAACCCCCAAGCGGCCTTGTGGACGAGCCACCCGCTACCCCGCAACCACAAGGTCCCACCCAGAGCACGCCAGTCAGCTGGCCCCCTACGGTGGCCGAGGCCACCCCCGAGAACACCCGTCACCTCATGGGCGATGCAGACCCACGCACTCCTGCCAACGTGGGAAACACCCTACACTTGTTAACGGTCCTCCAAAGGTCCATGGAGCAAATGATGGACACCAAGCTAGCCGCCCTGGAGAGAAGGATCATCTCCGCAATACGAAACAACCCCACCCGGGTGACGGCCCCAGCCAACCCCGCCAGAAGGGAACCCCCGGCTCAAACAAGGAGGGCGGCAAGCCCGGCACCCAACAGACCCCCACCCCCCCCCAGCGGCAGCACAAGCGGACCCTCTCAGGCCGCGTAGACTCCCCCCAGGGCCCAGAATGAGGCGACCAAGAAGACGTGGGCCGCCATTTCAGCAGCGGGCGTTAACATGGACGGTTTCAAGCTGGTCCAAAACAAAAAAAGAAACACGGCAAAAGGGCCAGGAATAGGTAACCAAGCTGAACGAGCCCACTCAGCCCCCTCTACCCCCCACGCAAGGTAACGCCGCCTCCTCATCCGATCGGTAGAAAAGGGCAAGAAGGTGGGAGCCACCGGCTGTACCCCTGCCCGCATCCGGGATGCCGTCAACTCGGCAACGAAAACAGTCTTCGCTTTCGAGGAGTACAACCGCAACGAGGACCTGGTCCTGACCACCCAGGACAACCTTCTCGCAGAACCAGCCCTGCAAGACGCGGCGGCTATTACCAAAGCCTGGAACGCAGTCAACATTTTTGGCTTCAGCCTCCTGACCGACGTGCCCACGATGAACATCGTGGTAAACAGCATCCCCCTGAGGGACGAGGACTGGACGCCAGAAGATTGGGAGGTGGACAGCGAGAAATGGACGGAGCTGGAGAACGAGCTCAACGGCTACAACCCGGGGGTCAGGGTGATGGACCGACCTAAGTGGCTCAAATCCCCAACCGCCCTAAAAGTCGAGGGAAAAACCAGGTCCTCAGTTATTGTTTCAGTGGAGGCCACTGAAGAGATGATCAGGGAAGCAAACAGACCCTTCCCCAGCTTGGCAGTGTTTGGAGTAAGGTGCTCCTTCAGGAAATATGTGAGGAAGGACTCATCTACATTTTGCGAGCGCTGCCTCGAATACAGGCACCACGGGGCCCACTGCAGAGCCGCCTACCGCTGCAGGTACTACAACGGCGACCACCACACCAAGGACCACGTGTGCGTCAAAGCATACTGCACCGCCGGGAAGGGGAGATTGTTAAGAATCCTACCGGGTAGGACCTAGCGACAGGTAACTATACTTCTCTGTAAGGTGATAGCTCTTAGGCCTATGCCTACGCGATCCTGATAGTCTAGTCCTTTGACTACTATCGTACTCGTGCCTATCTCCTTATTCTTCTTCTCAGTCCTCCCCTAGGACTTTAATCTCTTCTCGTGAGAGGAAAGACACTTCTCGGGTTTCTTAAGATAAATCTTAAAGAGCGTAAAGGTAGGTTTTATTGATAATAACTTAAAGGTAGGAAATAAACTAGAAGAACGTGTGAAGAGCTCATACTCGGGGTCCTAGTGACCCTTTATATAGTCGCTCTTCACTTGGCGTGACTCACACCTCGCGTCACGCGAACCCTGTGACTCATAACCCTGAGTCATGTAAAATCCATCAGACGACTCCTATGAGTCGCTGCGCAACATGCCTAAACCAATCAAAACATAATAACCAAGTCAGGTGCGCAACTCGCGTCACCTGAGTGAAACCCATGACTCATAAGTATGAGTCATGTGCAAAAATCATAACATCGTGTGACTCACAACTGTGAGTCACGAACAGGTAAACATAATAACCTATGGCGCACTGGTGTGCGTCATGTGAAATCCCAACATACCTATAACTCGGTAATCCGAGCTATGTGAAATCTGCCTTGCTTAGTCACAGTTCGTGACAGAGATCCTGCTCCCACACAATCCGAAAATGCGTCAACTGCGAAGAGACATCACACTTCGCCGGAGACAGGCACTGCCCCACCAGGACGAGAGCCAGATCCCCGGTGCCAACCGCCCACGCAGCCCTACCAGAGGCCGAGCCCGCTCCGACCAATTAAATACGGCGGTCATCGACATTGTATATCACAACGTGGGCGGGTCCATGAACGTTGTCACCGAGTTATTGAAGTGCTCCCTCACGTCAAACCCAAAAGTTTACGTACTGGCGGAAGTGCCACTGGAAAACAAGGACTGGCTCCACTTGAATGGATATACCTGTTACGCGC